TGTCCTAAATAAAGTGTCTCCCTGCTATCAGTTCTTCGTCCTATGCTGATCTTTGAGGTTGGATTGGCATATGACAATATATATATTTTAAAGTGTACTAGCAATAATTATCTGGTCAAGTATTTATTATTAATAACAATGTCTACATATATCTTTCAACATTACTATATAAGACTATACTATAATGTATCAGTTGTCAATTATATCCAACACTTATCAGGATTGCTCTAAATAATAACGTTTGCTGTAGCTTGTTCCTAACTATATTAGGTATAGAGACTAATCTACTAAACAAAAGTAATCCTTTGTTGAACCAGTAGCATGCATTTTCACTAGTAATTAAACAACTTTATTTCTAACTGGAAAGGAATTAAGAAGAAGTTAAAAGAGGGCACTAGAAATAATATCTATGGCGAATAAAGCTTACCACCTGTAGCTAAACTAATCATTTAATTTCTTACCTGTCCAATGATACCCAAAAATATTCAAAGTACTTATAACTGGTGCTTATCACCTGAATACTGATTTATACATTGCAGGGAACAGAACTTATAGCCAGAAGTCTTCATGGAATAGGTACCGTCAGACTGGTTTATTATTGGATTGGGATGAGATTAGAGCAGAGATCTGCATGAAAGATGCCGGATATTAGGGGAAGAATTACCAAACCTACTTGTCGAAAATAGATACCTCATACACCTTGCAACTTCTGGTGATTATCATAACACCAACCAAATGATCATCACATCACAACACCTTTTTGGAGATCACAATTCCAATGTCCTACTGGATCAGCGTGCGAATAACTTCTTATGGAAAACAGGACTTAACAGATTATGACCCCAGATACTATTTTTAATTCAGTTCAACTGTCTTTACCTGATGTTAAACTGATATTTTGTAATCTGACTTGTAGAGTATTAACCACTATACTATGGATTCACAGGTCTTTTTTTTTTTAATATATTATATATATTTATTATGTATTTAATTATTAAAAAATATCCTAAATCAAAAGACAAAACCTGTTTGATAAATTCAAAACCAATAAATTAACAGAAATAATATATATATATAACATGCAAAAATAATTAAATATAAAATATTATATAATGTTAAAAAACATATTGAAATAAACAAATAAACAATTTTATCAAAAATATATAAAAATATTTGGTTTTCACCATATTCTGAACTAATAAATACTTGATTCTATTTTTAAAATATATATACTTATTATCAAAATATTATATTACATTATAATAAATAAATAAATAAATGATTTAATATTGTAAATTAAAAAAAAATTATTTTAAAAATTAATTATTATTTTCATATTGTTTTAATATATTTAAAAAAATTTTTTTGTGTAGCTTTATATCCTAAAGTATATACTGTATATTTGTATTTTTTATCTAATTTTATTAATAAATAAAAATATGGGATTTCCAATTTTTTTTGGACCAGACTGTTATTTTTAATTAAAAATTGTTTAAATTGTTTTTAAATAGATGAAAAAAATCAAGACAAAAATCAATATATAACTAATATATCAAAACTGGTTAAAAATAATCTATAAATAACGAAAAAGTAAAGACAAAAATCAATAACAGTATATTCGAAAAATATATATATAAACACAAAGTATCCTGCTTTGCAATAAAATTTCGACCACTCTTAAAACTAGTAGATCTATCACAATCAGTATAAGAATATCTTTCTTAAATTTTAGCATTACTTATGAATTTTTTCAGAATAATAAATATAAGGACAAAGATAGTCAACTATTATTTTTGAATATAGTTTATAAAAATAATTATTAAAGAAAAAATTCTTTATCAGTAAAATAGATAGTGCGAAAATTAGGCTTAGTGGCAGCGGTTGGAATAACTAGAAGTGAAAAAAAATTACAACTTGATTCTGCTTCAACGAATATACTTCGGATAGTCTTTAGGCTCATCTCTTTGACTGCATGTATGATATCTTATTATTAAAAATATTCGGAAAAATATTTTTATTGGACACGTTTGAAAAATGTTTTTTTTTTTGTAATTATCATTTTTAATTTTAATTAAAATTTTTGTGTATACATCCAACTATTTTTCTAATTTAATATGGAAATAATTTTACAAACATAAACCATTATTTAGTAACAGTAAGTTAATTTTGTTGTAGACCAACAATTGTAATCTTAACAGGTTTTGGTGAAGGGATAGACGCTCTGCCATAGGAAGAACATGATAGAGAACTAAGTGGGGTGCTAGAAGTAATTACCGTTAAAGCTTCGGAAATACGATGCTTAAAACCACAAAAGAAAAGTGTTAAGTGATTGACGATTTGCATTAAAGGTAATAAACAGCTACCATCCTTAATTACTTACTTTAATATTATAAAATGCTTCCAAAACTGGCACCAAGCCTACAATTTTTTCCCGTTCTATTGGAACACATACATCTGCAACCAAGATCATCCTATATATTCCATCATAATTTAAATCCATCTCGTAGATGCGAATATGTTCATCTATGAATGTAATCAAATTTTAATAGATATATTAAAAAGTCGATCCAAATTTGCATACTTACCACATATCCATATACCAAAAGAAATTATCCCGACCTTGTTTCCATACTTTTTGATTAACTCATCCAAAGTACCTGCCTGAAACTCTGCAAGTCTAACTAAATCTTTTTTAACCAATATAGAAGATGGGTCCCTTGGTTTAACTTCTCCAAAGAGAATTTCATCTTTAGTATTGGTTGAAATTTTGAAATCGGGTTCATTACCTTTAACGGTAATATTCTCCTTATTGCCAAGACGTCGACTTTTTGAAGCAGAACTCTCGCTATTCGCCCTTTTAACACAAAAATACAAAAGATACTCAATAAAAAATGGAGATTATAACCACGCGTTGCTTACAAACTTACCATACCAATTCTAGCATTGGGTCACGAAAAATTTCATTGATCATGTCATGTAAAGTGTTGTGGACAAAGTCATCTTCGTTATTTTTATTAATAAAGCCTAATAAAAAGCTGAAAAAGATATTGGCATCAAATGAGTTATGATAACGTCAAATGTAACACCTACAAGTTCCGTAATATGATTTGGCATTTGCAAAAATTGACTCTATCTATTTTATCCAGTTCTGTGACCATGGAGAAATTTTTGCACCATCTGTCTTCCATTTCTTCTAGTGGCGTAAAAGAATTTAACAACTGGAATAGATTTTGCTTAGTGCTGTAGTGTAGTAATTTGATACCTAATATGTAAATTAGAAAATTAAATCTTACCAATGAATATTCTAGAACTACATTGATAACTACCGATGGCAAATAGGAAGATGTTTTTCTTCGACGGATAGTATTCCAACTTGCCAAATCACAAGATAAGTATGCCGGTTTTATCCGCTCAATCAACATTATATTTGATAAACATCTATTTTATCACAAGAATAATGGATATAATAAAAAATCACAAATCCATAATTCGAATTGAATTCAATACTTACAGAATTTTTTGAATGTCTTTTTTATAACACAAATATGGTTTTTCCTTGACCTGTTGAATCGTCAGTCTTTGAAAATTACGGAACTCATTGGAAAGATTATAACTTTCAAAAATCCACTGAAAATATATAAGTATAGTCAATTAATGTACAGTAGATGCAACTTCTATATTTACTCACATCCTTCTTTGAAGTATTCCTAAAATCAATCTTGTCAATCGCATCTTTCCACGAATAAACAATTATTGTTTTTTCCCTGGCATCGTAATATTCAGGCTCGATATCTATATATGCATATATGTGTGTAAGTTAGAATCTCTCGGAAATGTTGCAAAAACTAAGGTGCTTTTATTACCTTCTTCATTATTAAATTTAAAAGACGGTGCAGATGATGACGAACGCAAATTATTATTCACTTGATTCATTTTCGAATCTGCTGACTCTAACATTGACCTATCATCCATACTTTTTCCAGGATACGCAACGTTGATCATATTACTTCTGCCATCATCTTCAAGTGATACATTTGTTAAATCTTTTCGCTGATTTCATCATACATAACATGTCGGTTATTAGCAAAATTTAATTTGATTTACAAAACTATACATGAACTAGCTTACCCTTTTAGTTGACGTCACATCTTCCTCTCTGTCAATTTGATGCTTGGATTTCCGTGATTCTAACAGGTAGCTGGAGTATATCATCTTCTCTTTCCTTACATCTTTGTTTAGTGATGCATTATATTCGCGCTATGCAAATAATTCATATCATTAGAACACAATACCAGAAAGCTAATGTCATATTCCTGACTTACCTCTGCGATTTCTTCATTTTTTGCTAATTCATTAAGGTTGGCTAACCACTTTTCTTCCATTTTTTTGTCAAGCTCAAAAAAGGATATGAAATGAAAGCAAGATAAAGATGAGATTAATTAATGGTTCAATAAAATATATACATATATTAACAATCGATCGTGCGACGAGGAAACCCAGGGTGGCGCGAGGGCACCCTGTATAGTATCGATGTTTTGTTTAATAAAACACAATAGCAGCAACACGTCAAGGAAACCCAGAGTGGCGCGAGGGCACTCCGTATAGTATTGACCTGGCTGAGAGCCAAGCTGTGTTGTAGCAAGTTGTGCTCATTTTCACATAAGTATACTAACCTTGAACGACCTCTTTAGTGAAAATGCCTTTGAGCGCTTCAAAGGATTGTAATTTTGTTCGATAAAATCCAGACACTTTTTGTACTTATAGTTATAGACTCTTATAGGGTCAGACGGAAGCAACCTTTTGCCAAGAGCGTAGCGAATAAAGCTTGAGTAGGACCAGCTATCAGCAGTATATTCATCGAAATAATCAAAGTAGGGAGTAAGTTTTTCTTTTGACATATGGTATAGAAAATCACGAAATTGATACGCGTAGTATAAATATGCATACTCCAAATATGGGCTTACCAAGTCTTGTACGATCAAAATCACATGTCAAAATCGCAATATATTTGATTTCTCGAAAAAACTAAAGATTACATGCACGTTATCTTTCATAACGCCGATTATACCCAATTATTAACACTTACGAAACAGAAAATAATGATACATTATAATTTTAGCTCGAGGATTCGAAGTTTCTTTGTAAGATATTTTAAAACTTATGCATCCATAGCCACTCTCGCGAACTATTTCTATTTCTCTTTCGAATTGAATTACAAATTCAATTAATCCGTTATGATAATTAAATTGTAAATCAATTCACTCACTGTTTTTGCTTTATCAGAGATACATTTCATTCCATAATCCAATTCGAGTTTTTGATTAATCTCTCACTTATTGTGTTAATTTAGATGCCGTATTTATTAATGCTTTGACTTTAAGCATTAATTATTATTTGAAAATTTTAATATAAACAAATAAATTTTACAAAGTAATTATAATAAAATTTGATATTCGAATTTTTAAAAATTTGAAAAAATAAATAAATTCTGGTTTTTTCTCAAAAAAATTTTTGTTGTCTGTTTTTTGAATTAACAAAAAAAATCAATAAAAACAATTTACAAACATAGTTATTTTTCAAAAGAAAGAAATAAATAAATTTAATAAATATAAATATACAAGGATCTTAATATAAGAAGTTTTATTGATATTTAAACTTGATATTAATTTTACAACCCTTTTTTAAATATTTTTTGAAAATGTTTCCCAATATTCTCATAAAAATTTTTTAGCATTTATTATTATATAGATTTATTAAAAGACTTTTTATAAAAAATTAAATAGTTAATGTATTTTTTTTTATTATAATCATCTTAATAGACATTGAAATTATTTAAATTATTATTTATTTATTATAGAAAAGTAAAAATACAAAGGCGGTTTTTTTGTCCAAAACTGTATATCTTATTAAATAAATAAATTATAAATTAAGATTTTATATGATAGTCTAAAGTATTTTCACTTACAAACGACACCTTATTACAAATTCTTGCCAATAATAACTTAGTTCTCGAGAAAGGTAACAACAATGATTTTAAAAGTTATGTAATTCTGTACGAATAGTTTTAATATTTTCGGTAATTTATTGTTGTATGACAGCAGAGCTGCACATCAACTGGTCCAGTTCAGTCTTGGCAACCCAAAACTAATCTTTGTGACTAATACATGCGGAATTTGTTTGTTTAAACGTTTCGGACTAATTTCAAAAAGTTCTTATCCATTGGAATGTTATGTTTCTACGTTTATATCCATAAGCGTAGAAAAATGAGCAAGTGATTGATGGAATTCACATGCATCATTATGACCATGTATGTAAATAATTTATGCATTCTCTATTGCCAAATACATCAACAAGAAGTAGAAAATTAATATAAATCCAATTATTCACAATCGAAATTCAATTTAAACCACCAAACCTTTAATCTACCTTTAAAATTAATTATCCCGTTAAACATGGCAAAAACTTTCTGGAGAATTTTATTCGCCGTATCCTTGATGATAATATTTTATTATCTATTATGGACAACGACTTATGTACCTCCAAGAAAACCACAATCTTTGAATCGTACTCTTGGTTTTGACCATATTTACGTCGTTAATCTTTTATGGAGGTTAGATAGACGCGAAAGGATGGAAACCTTGGGAAATGCACTTGATTTAGATTTCGAATTTTTTTCTGGCGTTTCCAAGTATGACTACAGGGCTCTCAAAAACTATAACTTTAGTATGTCAATTGACCAAAAGGCTTGCTTTGCCAGTCATTATGAAATCTATCGGTCAATCATCAAAAGTGGATATCGTAATGCCCTGATTTTGGAAGACGACGTAGATATTGAACTCAACATCACATCGGTAATGAGTGAAATCCACCATGTTTTACCTCAATATTGGGATTTACTATACATCGGTCATTGCTCGAAAGATAATTCTAAACCTCTCGATAAGGAAAGCACCTCTGCCTTTAAGCTGTACCATTCCGTTTCGCCATATTGCACACATGCCTATGCCGTTTCATCCACGGGCGCCCGGAAGCTAGCGGAGTTAATTGTTCATCCACATAGGCCGATTGATTTAGAATTGGCAAGATGGATTCGTAAAAAGAAATTGATTTCATATAGTGTCAGTCCATCAGCCATTATACAGTGGAAGTCAAAATATAATCCATCAGATATACCTCGTAGCGGAAGAACGATCGGATATCGGTTGAAGAACTCTACCCTGAAATCTCTTGGATATAAAAAGAATATTATTATTAACTAAAACTTTGATGCTTTCACATATTTAATAGAACACTTACCTTCATAGAATTACACTGTCAAATAAGCATAAGCATAGAAATTCTTATTTTCATTTATCATATTCATAATAACCTCTTAAAACAAAAACAAACGCCGCATATTCTTTTTAAATCCCGGGTCATAAAATTAGGCCCGAGTAAAATTATGATATAATGCATTAAAAATGGTTTATTAAAGAGTTTTACCATCAGATTATTATATGAGCAAATTTTTATCTAAGTATAGATATTCACATTTTAATTTATTGTAATATTTCTAGATACGGTAGATACAATTTTGAAGATAAAAATAATATATTTTTTGATAAAATTAAACTTGAAAAAGGTTTATCAAAATTAATTGATCGATTCTCAATAATCATTATTTAAAAATTCGGATTTAAATTATTAATTAGACTTCAATAACAATCTTATTGAATATTCCGATTGTTTACTAGAATCATTCTTTAACAACTCATGTATAATAAATTTACAAACATAAAAATCTTCTTTTTTGAAATGTTACCAAATTTACTTTCAATTTTCAATTTTGTTTTTGCAACTTAATTAAAAAATTAATAATTAATCAATATTTCGAGATATTTTCTTACTTTATTTTCTTTTATAAAATTAATAAATACAACTTATACTATATTTAACTTTTAAAAAATAATATAATTATTGATAATATAAAAGGTTTATTATTTAATTTAAAAGTTTTTAATTGATATTAAATTATATATTATTTATATTATTTAATAATACTTGAAGAATATTATTATAAAATCAAAATTAATAAAAAAATAATTTAAATACTTTTTAATTTCTTCAAAAAAAAATAAAAAAATCAATAAAAAAACTCTTTCCTAAAAATCTTGCAAAATTATTAGAAGAAACAAAACAACAAGTGCTCTTGAGAGCTTCTCTTCCAAGGGCAAATCACCAAGTTCTTTTGGATATTATAGTAACAAGCCTTAACTTAACGATCAACTCTTTTTTGTAGTATACAAGGAAAGCAACTCAAGTAACATCCAAATTACTGAACCAGCAAAAAATGTATCTATTTCACTTTTAGTTAACTTTCTCAAATTTTGGATTGTTCCCTTACAAACCCCAAGCAACAACAGTCCTATGCAAATAAATACAGCCTTTATCAATTTCAAGCAAATAACAACTGACTCCACCTCTCTTTATTCACATACAATGACTTCAATAACCATCAACAATCATAAAAGCAATACTCAAAACAATCTTAACAACTTCTTTCAATATTAGGAAAAAAATAATCTTGCTCCAAGTATAAGAGAAATCATTACAAGAAAGGTTTTAGATAATAATTTCAATTATACTTTCCATCTTTCTTGAAACCAAATTAATATTATTAAAAGTGATAAGAGATTTAATCTAAAAAAAATTCAGAATACACTATCTTATACATTATCTAATATAACAGTCCAAGATAAGGAATTGATAACTATTAAACAAAACTTCACTGAAAATTTTAAGAAAAAAAAACTATCTTCTCAAATCCTCAAAAAAACCTCAAATAGCTTACTCCATCCCATTGATTTACAAAATGTGTGTAGTTTCAAAATAGCAAAAATCAATAACAATATATATGCATCCCCTGCAGCCCAAGAGCATGCAAAAGTAACAGTACAACAGATTACACAATACCAAATATCAATGATATGCATAATCAAGATGATATAATACAAGTAAATAATCTTCATTATATAGTCACTATAAACAATTAACATAACAAATCTGGAAATATAATCAAACCAACCAGTTTGTGTTTTGACAATAATGTATCAATGGAATCTTTTAATTAAAGATGGGTTCCTAAATAAAGGTAAGGACATAATTCAAATGTCTATCACTATTAAAAAAGTTTTTTTTTTAAATATAAGGTCAAAAAAAAACTACCTATAAAGATTTTTTACAATTTAGGTTTCTTAATCCAAGTGTTTTTTGAATTATGTTCCTATTAAAATAATGAATAAATATTTATGTTCCTTCAAAAGAAACATAATTGATCTGCAAAATTTTATATGCTAAATAGTTTAGAGGCCCATCCTTACTCTGGATACTACAAATCTTATTGGTAGCACCAACTCCCTTATAAAATTTGATCATCAAGTACAAGAAAAGTTAGGCAATCTTCAACAAAATGCACCTTCCATTTAGACAGACAATCAAGAGCTTACATTAGATCAAATTAGAAAAAAAAAATATTAGAAAAAGCTGAAGCTAATTAGCCAACCAATAATTTGAGTTTATATGAAAACTTTGAGAACTCTCACAACTTCTTATTTACCAAAAATTCATTAGAAAACAAGTGATCAATCTTACCTTCAAATAATAGAAAAAACAAAATTGTAGAAATTCTCTTAGAAAGTAACTATTCAATAGATAACCTATTGTTGTATGCACAACAAATAACAACAAATCCTTTATTAGCAAGTATGACATAATAATTGACCTAGTATCACAGCTATCAGCCTGCTGCAGTAATACCAAAGCAGTAACTAATCTTTTCAAGAAAATCAGAAACACTTTCAAAGGTTTAGTTTTATAGGAATCTTATTTAACAATTTTTATCAAAATCCTTCTAAGAGATAGAACCTTCTTTAGGTCTTTTATCAAGAATGACTTACTTAAAGGAAACTATCAAAAAGAATACAAAGAATTAAAAGCAAAAGTATATGAGAACTACAAAAAAAATCAATGACGTTAAATATATTAACAAAAGAAGCAAAAGAAAAATCAAATGGATTCTCAATTCATCAATATTTGTGACATGCCTTAAATTCATAGATCTAAATAAATTTAAATTCTTCGAAATTATACAAATCCTTAAGTTCATATGCAATTACTTCATAAAGGATGACGACAGCATTGTTAACTATATTAAACTGCTAGACTTAATCAAAGAAATGCTATACAAATTACTATTAACTCTTCCAGATAATCCAAAATCTATTCCCTCTAGTATAGTCATTAAGCTTCCAAGCCTACTGCCAATCAAAAAAAGATTATTGTTTACATTTACTGTATCAATTTTAAGAATACATTACAAGTTCTTTCAACTTCCCGATTTATACTTCTTTAAGTTCAAATTATTATCAAATAATCCCAAGGATCTCAATGAAGAAACCAAATACCTCTTTTCATTATTGAAAGAAAAGACCTAAAAGAACTCTCGGTAAAAATCAGGAAGCTTGTCAAGTTTTACAAAGTTTTTGTAAAACTGCCTAAGATATTTTTCGACCTGTTATTATCTAAAGTAGGGCTTATAACAATACCACTTCAATATTACTTCGATATCAGTTCGATATTTAAATTTACTATAAAAATATATGAGTAGGTTACAATCCATATATTAAATTTACTATAGATCAGTACCATTTTGATACCAGTTCGATACTAATTTGGTACTTTTTCAGAGCTCTAACCTAAAGTTCCACTCCCAACATCATATAATCTGCTCCCAGAGCATCTAATATATTGCTTTTCTCACAATCCAATGACAATAAATATAAGGGAGCTCATCAGTATCTTAATAAAAGAGTACAGCCTTAAAACTCTACCTCTGAACTTTTATAAGTTCAAAAGACTGTTACCTTATTCTCCCAACCCATTGCTAGATAACTTAGACATAAGCATCTCTGCACAAATCAAGGAGAATGCCAATCACCTTATAAAATACTTTCAAAAAGATTTTAAATTTAACTTGCCTTTTGACTTCCAGTGAATCGATCTAGCCATTTCACAGATGAGCAAAGAAAAACTACCAAGCAAAATTTCTAACATAAATAAGTTTATTGATATTAAAGATCATATCAACTATCAAGCAAATAACTTCTTATCAATTATGTGAAAACTATATGAGAGGTATAAATTTTATACCATTTCAGATAATTGGTTCCAGGCTTTAAAGCCACACTTATCTTCTGTAGAGGAGCTTAACAAAATATTAGAAAACAATCATTTTTCAATCTGTTTTCTTCTTATAGATGATGAAAATTTATCTTCACTAAACACATAGCTATACAAAATATATATATATTATAGATTATTAGAAGAATACATCACCCTTGAAGATCTGCCAAAGCCTGGCTTTGATTTTATTCCCTTTATCTATTAAGATAACATTACTATCCAACTTTAATTATTCATTAAACATATTCATACAACAAACCTTCCTCTTAAATCTTTCTAACACCCATATCAAAAACTTACTCAATATTTCAATCCTAAATGTTCATGAATTAAATGACAGAAGCACTATCCTAGGATCTCAAAAACGAAAAAACAATCCTATGTTGCTCAGAAACAAAAATTTTAGAAGAGTATTCTCTTTCCAAGAAGCTTAATAACAAAATAATTATCTCAAGCATGCTATTCAGCTTAATAAAAAATGGCTTATGCCTAATATTAGAAAAGAACCTGAGCAATCATATCTTTGAAATATTTACTAAAAACAAATACTGATATGCAGTTTATCTCAAATTCAAGCCAAAAATTGATATTATCATTACTTCCATATACCTATCACATGAGTGCAATAAAAGGAAAATAGCCACTTATTAATTAGATTTATTAAAAAATTCAAGAAACCAGTATATCAAATAATAGCAAGAGACTTCAACATGTATCTATCAGATATACTAGCCATTAATACTCCAATAACAAATCCAAAAAAAAAAATCTACAACTATTTGCATAATTGGATAGATATTATTAAAACAATAGATAAAAAAAAGAGTATACACATATAACCCAAACAAGTGCATCAATAATTAATCAAATCTAATGTACTAACTATTTGGAAACCAAAGTTCTAGATGCAAAAACTTTCAACTCATTATCAATTAACACAAATCATAAACAAGTACAAGTTATTTTTGATTGATTTGAATACAAATTGACAGCTCCCAGGTGCCAAACAAAAGTATTCGACTGGAAAAAAGCAACTGAT